ATGAGAGAGAAATCTCAGTTGGTTGCTTCCATACTCACCCCAAACGGGGATCGAACCTGCAACATTTTGGTATATGAGACAATACTCCAACCAACTAACTACCCAGCCGGGGCCTCTTCAAAGCTTTTTATCACTTAGCCCACTTCTTTTCTCTTGGAAAGGCAGCTAGTCTGTCTCGTTCTACCTACACAGATTGAGATGAAAATTTAAAAGAAAAAAACTCATGAGAACTCAGAAAACATCTAGCTAATTTCACCAGGCTAGAGCTTATCAAGCTTTGATGAAAATAGTTATCACTGGAGCATTGGCAGGTCTTGATCAAGGGGAGGGTGGAAGGCAGGGAGTGTGCACGCCCTCTGAGCTTCTGGAAGGTGCCCACACCGCTGATTCGAGGACCGTGGTGGAAGTAGCGAGATCTCCCGAATCTCCCGGAGGCCCACCCATGGTGAACTCTGTGAGTGCAGAGCCCTACCGTGCTGGGCTGGTGGCCTCAGGAAGCCTGGCTTTGTCACCAGCAGCCAAGACCTGAGCACTGCTTAGGTTGGCAGCCTCTTCCTGCTCACAATCAGCATTATTTCTGTCCGATGACCCACAGTCTGGTGTTCCCAGGCGAAGGTTTCACGTGCATATAGTTTTAGTGCTGCTCTTGCATTGAGTTATGTGATTCCAGTCTGCCTTCTAAGGAGAATGCATCATGTTTACAGATGTATTCATGTCTCAGAAAGAAATTAGAAAACTGCTTACACAAGTGCCTTGAAGTGATTAGTATTCATGATGTGAAAATTAGGATGTTTATCGAAGCAACACAATGATTAGAGAGTTTCTCCCGATGCCTGCCTGGGGGTGAGAATTAGTGAAGACATTGGGACACCAAGTAATGAGGTAAAGCTGAGAGAGAGGAAGAAAAACAGGTTGTTGATTCTCTGTGGCTATAAAAAAGGAGTTTGACCTTTTCTTTGGTTTGCAATTAATCTGCCAGAGAGTACTTTATCCCGAAGTGTGCCCCCAGATGTCTTCCTAGCAGTTCCCAAACAAATGTTTTCCTGCCCCACTTTGTGAACCGAGCAGATTAGCCCTTGTAGATGTGGACCAAGACACAGTCTGCTTCGACCGAAGCTGCTTTTCCCAGTCCTTCTCCATGCCCTGTAAGTTCTGAAACTGGGTGTCGTCGCTCTTTGAAGAGATTAGTCCAGCAGCGCTGTTGGGTAGGGGCCTCATCTGTCCCCCCCCACACATCCCTAGCACAGTGCCTGCCACATAGTGCATTCAGTGAATAGCGAAGGAATGAAAGAATGAATGAGTGAACCAATGCAGGAGTCCAAGGAATAAAAGAATGAATGAGTGAACCAATGCAGGAGTCCAAGGAATAAAAGAATGAATGAGTGAACTAATGCAGGACTCCAAGGAATAAAAGAATGAATGAGTGAACCAGTGAGGGAGTCCATGAACAGATGCAGATGCACCCTCTGCCTTTCATTCCAGCAAGCCACTGACACAAGGTTCTGTCCTTCTCCTCTCCACTTGCCTGAAGTCCTCTCTGTCTGTGGAAGCTGGAGACCAGGGGGTGGCGGTGGCAGGGAGCCGGGTGGTGGGTAGTGTTGCAGGCTGGGCGGCTCTGCAGCAGACTCAGCCAGTCCACACCCCTGCTGCTGGCGTCCTCCCAGCCCTCTCCCTACACCTCTGCCCCATGAACCACCTGCATCCTCTGAGTGTCCTCTGAGCCATGAATGTTAAAATACGTGAAATAAAAGCAAAAATACTGAATGAGGGCAATCATGACGGAGCCTTCCCTGGGGCTTCCAGAAAAGCTCTCCCCATTAACTTTAAGTCAAAACATAATCTAAAGCACATCACTTCCTAGGAAAAGCTTTCCGCTCTCCAAAATGGGCTATGTTTCTGCTGGCCCTTCTCCAAGGACTCAGCGCCTTCCTCCCTGCTCCCAGCAGCCCCAGCGTGGTACCTCAATTCCACTCTGTGACTTGAGCACGCTGAGGTATTCTATTTTAGAGGACACAGAAGTGCTTCTGAATGCCAGACAGTTTTGGTCTAACCAGGGAACAGAGGGCTTATCCTATGATGAACTTGAACCCTGGGACTTGATTGCAAATATTGTGGTAGAAACCCAACTCCAAAAGGTCTAAGCAAATGAGGGGATTTATTGGCCCATGTCATGAAAACATTTAAGGGTTGACCTTGGACTTGAGTAGATCTAGGTGTTCAAAGTATAGCAATAGGATTCTGCCCCTTCCCACCATACAACATGCTTTTGTTCCGAAAACTGCAAATGTCCCCCAAGTGATGGCAAAGATGGCCCTGGAAGCCCCCAAGCCCTCATTCTGCCAAGGAGCCAGCCCAGCAGAGAGGGAGTGGCTCTTCCCAACAGCGTTAGGGAAAGCCCCCACCCTGACCCTGATTGGCAGGGCAGTGTCATGTGACCAACTGCCCTTGGCTGTCAGGGGTGGGGCTAGCCTTTCCAGAACAAAGTAGACTAAGTTGGGGAGGAGGAGACAATGTCCCAAAAGGGAAAAAAAAAATCCTTCTGTCAAAAGAATGAGGGGGACAGTAACAACCCTTCCCATCAGTCCCATTCAGACCCTCTCAGCTGCAGGGCTGAGCCCCCGCTGGTCCTTCTGAGAGGTGGGAGACTCTGAGAGCAGGGAGGCACCAACGTGCGGGAGAGGCAGCCCGGAGAACATGTCTTTTCTAGAACTGCATTCTTTTGTGATCTTAAAGCGATGACGTAAATCATAAGTTTAGGGGTTATGGTTGCCAAGGACAAAGTCTTCTGTATTTTTTTTTCTTTTCAATTCTGAAAACAGCTTCCTGGAGTTTTTTTTAATGACAGATGCTTATTGTAATTAAATACTATAGAAAAATACACGCAAATGTATCTTTCTCACGGAAGAGAGCCAGGTGCCCTTCACGCACGCTGGTCGAGCCCCCTCTCAGTCGCTTGCTCCTTTGAGCAAAAGGCACCTGACCTTACTACATTTCTGTTTCTCGTCTATAAAAATGGGACTCATCCTTATAGGGCTGTTATAAGAAATTAGCCAGATACCTTATTGCTTCTGTTACATCATTTCATTCGCAAACATCTTTATAAGGTGGTCACTGTCATCCTTCCCCTTTTAGATGAAGAAGATAAGCCTTAGAGGGGGCTAATTCATTTGTTCGAGACCACACAGGTAGCTGATGCCAGGGCCTGGGCCAGTCCCAGCCTGAACCCGTGTGCTCACTCATTGCGCTACACTTTGTGAGAAGTAAATCACCATTCAAGGAGGGCTTCTGGCACAGTGCCTCAGACGGAGCAAGCCCTCGGAAAATCGTGTTTATTGTTATTAAGGTACCGGTGGATTCTATGAACATAAACACATATACTATGTGTTCCATTGGAAAGAGGAAACAGATAGTAAGAAATTTAACAAGTAATCATTCATTAACACATTCATATATTGATTATCTTCTGAATAATGAATATGTATAATGGAATATGAGGTACAGAGATGCACATATAAAAATATGGAGAGAGAAGCTGAGAGTAAGAGGAGAGAAGCTGTGCCGGCCCAGTGGTGGTATTTTAGGGTGGCCCGGGAAGGCCTCCCAGAGGGGTTGAAGTTTGTTCAAGGAGCTCCAGTCTGTAGGCCAGGCAGGCAGCTGGCAGGCTCGGCTCTGGGGTAGGTAGATAGGATCTGGTAAGCAGGTGCATGGGGGCGCCCCCAGAGCCAGAACGGGAAGGATTCACTGTAAGATGGTAACCCCCGTACTGAAGTCCTAGTCTTCCCCAAGTAGACTTTGCAGTGTTTTTAGAAAACTGCTCCCTGTGTTTGACCTAGGCAAAGCATCCTTGGACCACTGGTCCAGTTGTTTGTGGATGGGGCCAAGAGGCCTTGCTGTTGCCCACGTAACCATCCAATTGGCTTTCTGAATACTGTCTCATCACCGGGCCCACTCCCTGCACCCCCAGCTCCACACTGGACCTCCCAGCCTCCAAGTCCCAGCTCCTCAGCCTGATCCACAGAGCGACATTCTCTGTCGCTTCCGGTTTCCCAGAAATTCTTCCAAATGAATGTTTGATCCTGTTCTCGTCCTCCTTCTCCATTTTACAGATTCCTTTCCCGCTGACTCCTTCCCTGATGTCACTGGCATCCGGGGAGGACGGTCAGCCACGGGCGCTTCTTGTCTGTTGAATTAGCAGCATTCACATCGGTTCTGCTTTTCTGAACCCTCTGAAATGAGTGTGCCTTACTTACTACATTCATAAGAAGAAAAGTAACAACCAAAGCCCTTCTTCAAGTGAGAGGGATCGAGAAGTCTGTTTTTGTCAGCCAGAAGAGAGATGAATTGTGTCAGGGTCTGTACCGACTGCCCCAGCTCCGACCAGGACGCTGCTTCCCAGTGTGTCCAGCTGAACGGAGAAGAGGCTGGAGAATTTTGCCATAAAGCCTTTATCTCACTTGTGCTTTTTATTTCTCCAAGATAAATGAGAAATGTTGCTAACGCAGTAGCAGTATCAAATGTAAAGCCTGCTATTAAACAGATGTATCAGTCAGTGGCTTCATGCGGCAAGCATGTATAAGCTTACTCTTGAGATGGACTCAGGGGCATGGTTCTTCTGCTGGTCTTACCTAGGGTCACTCATGCATCTCCGGTCAACTGGCAGCAGATGGCCTGTCTCACCTGTCTCGCCTGTCGGGGGTTGGCAGCTAGGGCATTTGGGGTGGTTGTATCACATGGGTCTCATCATCCCAACGGCTGGCTTGGGCTTGCTGCCCAGAGCAGCAAGGGAGGAAGCCGCAAGGCTGCAAGACTCGCACAACAACACTGCTGCCGCTCTCGGAGGTCAGAGCAGGTCAGCCAGCCCAGAGGCAAGGAGTCGGGAAATGAGCTCACGTCTGGATGGAAGGGGCCACGAAGTGTTGTGGCAGCCTTTGTGGTCCACCATTCAGCAATCCCATTTCCTGAGTCCAATGTTCCCTTTTCTAATTCTGTGTTTTCTCCAGGCTTCTGAGAACCCAGTCTCTGGAATGGTTCTACAATAATGTGAAGAGCCGTTTCAAGCGCTTTGGCAGCGCTAAAGTCCTGAAAAACCTGTACAGGAAACACCGGCTGGAGAGCGGAGCATGCGTCGACATCCTAGGTATGCTGGCCGCCTCTTGCTCTGAGGGTCCTGGGGTGCGGGGGGCTGGGGGATGGAAGGAGGCCTGTTTGGAGGCCCCGTGCACTGAGGTACACGCACCTTGGACGGAGAAAGCTCCTTCAATATCTGGTTCTAGGGCGGAGCAGAAAGAGGACACATACCAAAGCTTCTGTTAAGTTTTCGGTCTTTTGGTCCCAGGCTGGGTACGTTAGAAGCTGGGAGGACCAAAGCATCGCTGCAGATTGTGGACGCTTTAATTCTGGATCCCTTAGAAATGAAAGATTCTCGATCATGTTTCCCTAATGGGTAAAACACTGGAAAGGCATCGTGGGCTGGTTGCATGGGCTAGGGCTTCATGCGGAGGATGCGCCCTCCACTTCCCGTCTTCCCACTCCAAAACTGTCTTTATTCCGGGCCCGGAACTGATGTGAGCGGAGAATGGGAAGAATGGCCACTTCCTCCAGGAAGCTTGGGAGCCGCGTCCCGCCTAAGCGGTTTCATGCAGTCAAAACAACCAAGGTGCATAATTAGAAGTTGTAGTAAACCAGCCAATAGGAAGAAATTGTCGTCAGAATATGAAAAGCATGTCCTTCAAAAGAAAGAAAGGCTGTTTTTTTCCAATCTAGAGGCAGAGGCAGGATTTTTTCATCCTTTTGCTGACACAGGTAAGTGTTTTGTTTTGTTTTTTTTAATCCCCGAGAAAGAGGAGGAAAAAAATCTCCTGCATCTCCTTTGGAGTTTTTTCACCATCAGTATTTCGTATTCTCCATTAAGTCTTCAGTCATGTCTTATCTAAAAATATGCCAGCCACTGAGGACAAGGGAGAAAATAGGATGGAAGCGTTAAACACGGAATCATTAGCGCCTTTTGTGGTAGTTGTTAGAATTTCTGTCTTTCAAGATGCTCAGGAAGGCTTATAGCTAAGAGAGCAGTGCCCAAGGTTGCCACATAGTATTTTTATCTTCTCTTTATGGGCTTTTCTAGAAATTTTTCTCTAGGAACGGAGGCAGAAAAGCAAGATGAAAAGCAGTGGTATGATCAGTAGTTTTTCAACCCAGAAATATTTCTCAAGAAAGTTCCAGAACAGAACTGACTCACTCGTTTGCACCCCATCTTTCCTCTCCTGCACATCCTCCAGCCTGATTTATGGGCCCTTTGCATAAGTCCCCAAATTCAAATCTCATGGGCATTCTTTACGGCTTTAATGCAAAGGGAGGGGAAAACAACCTACGTGGAGATGACTGCAGGACAGAACACAATCCCAATTTCTTTCCTCATCTCCTAATGACCCCGCCGGTGGAACAGGCCCACACGAGTCCCAGGCGGGCCGGCTGAGGGCTTTGAAGTCCCCCAGTGTCATTTTCAAAAGAGAATGAATTGCTGGGATTGAAGCGGATATGGGTCCCAGGCCTCTGAAGTTCACCATTTCCTCCATCTGGGCCTCGTCCCGTGCACCATCTACCGCACGGCATTCCAGCAGTGGCCGACAAGGCTGCCCCCCTGCCGACCACATGGAGACAACAGCTCCTCTACCCAGTGCCCCCAAAGCAGGGCTCACGGCCCGGCGCACAGTGTGTTCTCTCTGGGTCGCACTAACTAGTTCCAATCTTAAAGCACGTAGTAGGTACCGAGACGTTTCATAGAAGTATTAGGATTCGTTGCTTTAATATGACTGATATCTCCATTTTAATGATGGTTTCCCTTTGATAAGCATGAAGACAGGCAGACAGGGGACACTTTATGAGATAGTTCTCAAGCCTGTGACGCCACGACCCTAAAACAATGAGATTTATTCTACCCGCCACCTAGAAAATTCAGTTCTGCCTCGCACACATACAGGGCCTCCTGGTTCCGTTGGATGAAGGGGGGGCATTACCATCACCTTCTGCCGGCCACCTAACACCCGTGTCTGGTTGTCACCGGCCATCCTCAGTGCTGGCCACGTGTTCAGTTACCGAGGGAGCTTTGGGAAAGGTCCCCGGATCATCTTCCATGCTCAGTCAGTTGCTCCCGAATGCCCGGAGAGGGGCCCAGGACAGGCTCTGTTTAAAGCTCTCCAGGTTATAGGAAGGCACGTCCAAGGTCACTGTCATTTGTTCAGGAGAACTCTGAGTAAATGGTGCATCTTCGTGTTGTCTAAGGTGCTTCTTTTCAGAATTTTGATTATCAGAACGTAACAGGCCACATCTACAGCAGGCAAGGCCCGGGCTCTGGTCCGGGGCTCTCGGAGCAAAACTCCTTTAACCTAGTAAACGCCTCCTCTGCGTGGCCCAGGGCAGCCTCCCATGCAGACAGCCCGCTGAAAATTCACTCCGTCCACAGACTCTCATGGGCCACCCGTCATATGACCACCTTGCACGGCCCTCAGTCCCTCCCAGGGTCAGGCCTAAATGGAGACCCAGCAAGTTAATCAGATATAGCTAAGATTTACTTATTCCATCAGTAAACATTATTGAATGCCTACTGTGTGCCCACCTGGTTTAAGAGATGGGGGGATAAGGCCGGCAGGATCCGGCCATCTCAAATCCAACCTTCCAGGGGAGAAATTAGGTAAATAAGTAAACAAATGTATTAAAAAGTGTAAGGTCCAGTGGGAACAAGCGTTCCCATGGTTTGTCTGATGGACTTAGCGTGATGTTTGTTAACAGTCCCCAAAAGAAGCAACAAATAAAGAGACAAACGTAGCCATCAGGAATACACTTAACCCCTAGACAACTGGATAAATGATTGATACACTTAGATTTAGTGTTGGATCAATAAAATGGGGGCAAGAACTCCTGCCGGATTTACTAACACTCTAAGTCTGTTTCTGGCATGAGCCTCAAAGCGGTCCAGCACACGTCTCAGCTGGGATTTGACGGGCAGACGTGCTTTTCCGAAAATGCTGAGCCGAGCGAAACCAGAGGTTCCTCCCACACGTGAACGATATGGCCTGATGTTGGCTGGCTGCGGGGTCAGGGCTTTCCAGAACAGCCCCGTTGCTTTCTGCCCTTGGGAAGGTGACACCATCCTAAATGACGTTCGAGCTCCCGCCTGTGCATTTAAAGGAAACGGGGGGGGGGGGGGGGGGGGGGCGGGGGGGGGGGTTAAGCTGGAAGAGTAGAGCCCAGCGGAGCCAGAGCGTGTCCTCTGGTCAGCACGGTCTCCCACGGACGCTTTCAGAACTTCCCCCGTCTCCTCTCAGTCCCCGCCCCTCCCTCTCTGTTCTCTCAGCAGATGACCTCCCCTCCTCCGTCCCAGGGTAGGCAGTGTGCAGCTCTGCCTTGGGTCCCTGTCCCCTTCCGGGAAGCTCTCGTCCCTTCCTCTTGCCTATTCAGCCCCTCTCTTAACCAGTCCCTTCCTATTGATTTGTAAACATGCCTGAGTCCCTCCCATGTTCTAAACCCATCCTGGCAGCACTGATGCCTCCACTTCCTGTCCTGTCAGTCTGTTTCCTGTCCCAGGCACACTCCAAAGAGCGGGCTGCGTGCATGGTTTCTATCTCCTACCCTTCCTCACTCTACCCTGCCCGCTCCCCTTCCATGCAGCAGCCAGAGGCATAAATCTGACCAGCTCAACCCTGAGCAACCTTCACTGGCTTCACGTGACTGCTGGGATCAGGACCATGACCTGTGTGGTCTCCAGAGCATCCCCCCCAGGCTGCCTCTCCCCCCCACAGGCCAGCGCACTGCCCCTTGTTTAGGCCCTCGATGCTGCCTGCTGCCCCCACTGCCTGCCCTGGGCAAGCTGTGCACTCTCCCTTTTGGCTGGTTTACTCACTGTGCGGGGCTGTCTTCCCTGCTGAATACTTGCACTGTACTGTGAAGTGCCCAGTCAGAGCACTGGACATATCTATAAGCTTCTGTTTATTTATATAAATCTTCAATTAATGCATTCTTTCCCACTAGACTATCGAGTTTGTCGAGTTTGTCAGAGGATCTCTGGCTTTGCTCACAATGTACCCTGATACCCGAACTCCCAGTCCAGGGCCGGGCACCTGGAAGGTGTTGACGGAACACTTGCTGGGTGAACGAGTGAATGAATGAGGGACATAGCCGAGCCAAAGTGATGGACTAGCACTTAAATGTATGGCCTGGGAAAAGAGATGACTTACCCTAAAGCCTTACTTTACAAGTAGGGAAACTGAGGCCCAGGAAGGCCAAGTTGCTTTCTCAATGTCACACAGCTAGAGTAAGTGGACTTCAGGCCTTTTGAAAGCCTGGTCAAAAAACACAAATACAGAGCATGGTACATGGTTCCCATGAACATATTACTCAGAGACTGAGTCCCCGTGATAGGCTGCCCCCTTGTGGCCTATTCCATTACCGTAGGAGCCTGCTAACCCACTGCAAAGGGCCTCTTACCCTTAGAGTTCCTACAAGGCGGTCCCCCATCAAGAAAGCACAGGTGTGTCATGCGTATTGCAGGCCTATTGCTTAGGCTTGGTACCAATGGCATTTGCCCATTTGGAGCTGGAATGTATATTTATGGTTTTGTTTCTTTCAAATGGTGTTTTCCACAAGCATTCGATTCAATAATTTTTTGAGCCATCTGCTATATGGGTGTTATCTTAGGTACTAGGGGATACAATAAAGTGATTTTTTAAAAATCTGCTATCCTCATCTTCAGAGTTCTCATGGATGCGTAGACCTCTAATAAAAATCCCCAGGTTAAAAACAGTGTGGCCAACTGCTCCTCTCAGAATGGGACTCAGACCAGGGATCTAGTCAAAGAAGACCAGAGAAGAGGCAGTGGGCCTTACGAGATCAAATGCCATTACTGGCCTTGTCTCCATCTGGGTTTGCTTCCACAGGAGAGAAGGATGACGGTTAAACTGTCAGCTAAGGGCAACTGTTTGGATCAGGGCCGTGGACCACGGCTCAGCTAGCGATCAGACACAGAGGGCTCGTCTCCCGCCGCGAGGAAAGCACTCTCGGCTTCCACGAGGAAGCAGGGTGACAGACAGGTTAAATAGCTTCCTCAAGGTCACATGACCAGTAAATTTCAGATCCAGGGACTGACCTCATGTCTCTGAATCCAATCTATTTTTCTGTCTTTGACTCCACATTGCCTCCAAAGAAGGCACTGGAAGAAAGTTGGGGGCGGTAGCCATGCTACAGCAGGAAACTATGTGACAGGGACAGTGTGACTGGTCAAAAAGTGTGGCGTTGTTTGGTGGCCCAGCCATTCCCTAGCCTCTGTGCAGGGCTGCCCTACAGTGAGTCACGGTGGTCTGCCAATTCAGTGCTCACGGAAGACCTTCGATAATCAAACTCATTTGTTCTCTTTCCACCCCCCCACCCCCCGCCAGGAGGAAGCTTTTTTGAGACGAACCTGGAGAATGAAGGAAGTGTTTCAGGCAGTGACTCAACATTTTATAGGCAGTCAGAAGGTAAGGTTGCTTAAGAAGTTATAGCTAATGGGAGGCTGGAGGAAGAGAAACACCTTCAGATATGGTCAGCCTCCCAGCTGCATTGTAACCACTCGGTACGACTGTGTGTTGCTGTATGGAGTCTCCCGGGTCTTCCTGTTGTTGCCATTTGCACGAGTCCATCATCGAAGTAGGTAATGAACCCAAGGTGTTACCTAGAGAAGCGCATTCACTGCCCAGCCATTAGATACTTCGCGACCAACTAGTGAGTGCTCTGGAGTTGGACCATAAAAGGCAGTACACCTGTGCCATTCATATGAAAATATTCGTATCAAGAATGTATCACTCACTGATGGAACTTCTACTTTTTTATTTCAGTGGGGTAGTTCCCTTAGAGCAGAGGTTAAAGAAACAAAATCAATTTTCTAGTTTAAAATAAAGCCTTCTCCAACACTGCCACTTCTTCTGCGCCCTCTCTTCTGTTCTTTGGGTGCCTTCTCATGAAGATCCCATCCCCTCTCTCTCTCATCCCTTCTGCCTGAAATTTCTCCCTGGGCTGCCCCACACCGTGATATAGCCTCGGGGCACCTCTGAGTACTGGTGAGGCAGAAAAATCCAGCACTGATTTCAGCCCAGAGTTCTAGACCCTGCATTCTGATGCTTAACTAACAGGACCTGCAGGTCCTCCAGGGACCGTGACCTCAGCATGTCCTAATCAAGCTCCTTAGCCACTGAGGTCCACCCACAAGAGTTCCCTCTCTCTCAGCCCCCTCCCTGCCGAGTTCCTATCACCAAGTTCCTTCCTATCGGCTCCATCTCCACTTTGATCCCTTCCTTCCTATTGTGAGATGCATAGCTTTAGTGCATCTCACAATATGTGGGCCTTCCCGCCCACAACTTCCTACATGAATATTTCAGCAACCGTCGGGATCATACAGGGTTCTCCGGAGAACCAGCACCCGTAGAATGCACACAGCACGCACGTGCAGATTTATCTGATTTCAAGGACACGGCTCACACAGTCGTGGGGATTGGCAAGCCCGAAATCTGTTGAGTAGGTCAGCAGGCTGGCGACTCGGGCAGGGTGGACGCTTCATTCTTGAGGCAGCAGTTTCTTCTCTGGGAAACCTTGTTTTTTTTGCTTTTATGGCCTTTGAACTGATTGGATGAGGCCTTCCCACGTCTTCGAGGGTCGTCTCTTTCACTAACGTCAGCAGTTGTAGATGTTAACCACACCTAAAAAACACCTTCAGGGCAATACTGAGATTAGCATCTGAATAAGTAAGTAAGTGGCTACAATAGCCTAGCCAGGTTGGCACATACGACTAACCACCCCACCATCTACCAGGCACTCTGACCTTCGGTCTTGCTGCCTCCTTACCCATCCCTCACGCCCCACCAGTTTTCTCCTGGAAACACCCACCCGAGACTTCCCTTTCAGCCAGAACATCTTCAGCACTCTGCGTCACCCTCATCCAAAAATTATAAACACAGCATCCAGAGCCTTTTTGGTCAGGGCTCCGGGCCTCGACTTTGCGGGTTCTGTGGGCCTTGGTACCCATCCCCAGCCCAAGGTCTACTCACGCCTCTAGCAGTTCCTTACGCACCTGGCCACCCAGCGGGAAAGAGCATAGAGTGTGGACTCAGCTTGTGCATCGGGGCGTCATCACCGGGGGCCTCACACGGCCTGGCTCTCGGGAGGTCACTGGTAAACTTTGACGCGATGGGAGTTTGTGGGGCCCTCTTCTGTGAAAAATACGCTGATGAGTATCTGAAAAAGAGAAGATACTACAACATCCGTCTCCACGGAGCAGTGGGTGTGGTAACAATTTAAATTGTCCAGCCTCTGCTTATAGAAACTGGGAAAACTGTGTCCAGTCAGCCACGGAGCTGATGTGCCCATTGGCTGGCTCGATCACTTTGACCTTCACTGAGCTGGTTTGGGGATTTTGTTTACCACATGCCATGTTCTGTCCACATTTGTGTCTCCAGAAGCCTAACAAGTTTGAATTATGGTTTTTAATTGAGGGACTGATTAATCCATGAATCGACATATTTACATCTTGTCTCATTCTACAAGGAATTTGAAGCAGCTTTCAGACATTTGTGTTTGTTAGTGGTGCACTTGGAGATTATAAATGAAAACAGGAGGCTGAACTTGGGGAAAAAGGAGGCTGAACTTGTACCTGGCCCTCATGGAGCCGTGTGCTTGAACCTGACGTGCATTGGGTTCCTGGGGTGAAATGAGAGGAATGATAGACATTCTCACCCTCAGGAAGAAGCAGAAATCTAAGTATCCTGGGGACACGGAATTCTTCCAAGCACTTAGCTCCAAAAACACTTTGTCACCTGCAGAAGTCCTTTGAATTGGAGATGGCGCTTCCTCCCATTTGTTGCCATATGTGGGGAAAAAATACATTCACTAAAAATACAATAGCCTTTTTTAATCATGTTGGCTGGTATTTATCTTGCTCTTGTGGTTAAAACTGAGGGCTTTGGAGCTAGAGAGTCCTGGGTTTGAGACTCAGCTCTCTTACTGCCCCGCTGAGCAACCTGGGCAAGTTGTCTGAGCTCCCAGTGCTTCAGTTCTCCAGTCTGGAAAGGGGCACCTACTCAAGGGGGCCCGTCCCGCCTGGGACACTCAGCCTGGGACCCAGCATGGGGTCCACCAGGGTTGCTGTTGTTGGTAGAATTGGCCTCGAGTCGAAAACATTCTTCCATGGCTTTTGTATGTGCATTAAACCATATGTACTGCCCAGTGCCCTCAGAACCCTTAGTGGTTATCACCCCTGGCATCATCATACTACCTTATATGCACAAAATAACACATAACTTTTATCTGAAAGTAGGCGAAGGGCCGTTACATGAAGCCCTTTTGTCTGTGCGTTTGGAACTGTGTTCCGCATGAGGGTGCCACGGTGACCTGCGGGAGGGGGTGGAGGCCTTCCAGCTCCCGGGGAAGCAATCTCAGAACCTCAGCCGGACATCCAGCCAGAGGGGGGACCAGAGGGACCTGAAATCGTTTTTTCAGAGGAGGAACTGTGGGCCAAGAGTTGGGGTGTCTGGGAACCAGCTCAGTTACAGAGCCAAGAGCAGGGTAAGGATGGACAAGGTGACGGTGTCATGGACCGAGAGAAGGTGGCTCTCAAGGACTTGCAGTGATTTGTGTCTGGGACAGGGTGGCGGGAGGCAGTGAGGCAGGTGAGAAGGGGCTTGTGAACCCGGGAGGTGGTGTGGAATGTATCCCAGAGATCTAAGCAGAAGACCTTACAGCTCTGGCCCGGTGGCTTAGCTGGCTGGGGTGTTGTCCCGCAACCGAAAGCTTGTGTGTTCAATTTCCGATCAGGGCACAAACCTAGGTTGCAGGTTTCACCCGGGTTGCATACGGGAGGCAACTGATCGATACTTCTTTCTTGCATTGGGGTTTCTCTCTCTCTCCTTCTCTCTCCAAAAGCAATGAAAAAAAAATGTCCTCAGGTAAGGATAAAGAAAACCTTATTTTTTAGAAAAAGAAGAGCTGACAGCGGAGCAGCCTCTCTCTCAAGGGCCCTCTGTTCTGTTTCCCGTCCAGGACACAGCATGATGGACACACTGGCCGTTGCCCTGCGCGTGGCCGAGGAGGCCATTGAGGAGGCGATTTCCAAAGCAGAAGCCTACGGGGACAGCCTGGTATGGACCCCCTTCTCCTCCCAGGGGAGGTGTGGGTCGGGGTCCTGGCTGCCAGGACAAAGTGCCACTTGTCAGGAAACCAACATCCTGACAGCCACCCTTGAGTGGAGCAGTGCGCAACCTCCCCCTGAGCTCGAGGTCCGGACTCTCGAGCAAGTGATGGCCAAGTGCCCCAAACCTGGTCCAGCACATGGCTGTTCCTTCCTTCCCTGTGCAGGACAAGCAGAACGAGGCCAGTTACTTGCGGGACCACAAGGAGGAGCTCACTGAGGAGCTGGCCACGACCATCTTGCAGAAGGTAGGTGGCCCTGGGACCCTGTGACAGGCCCGGAGCAGGGCGAGCTGTGGAGCGACCACTGCCGCCGTGGGTGTACTGGGCTCCATCTCTGTGCCTCGTCACTCCACCGTCTGTGCTCTCGGGGCTAATGCAGAGGGGCTGCAGCCGCAGGGTCTGAGACGAGGGGTGCAGGGTGGCTGCCTTTAGGGACTGAGCTAGCGGGTGCGGAGCCGGGAACTCGGCACTGGGCCGGTCATGCACTGGGTTCCGGTTTCCCTGGCTTTGCGCGCATGCGTGTGTGTGCGTGTCCTCTTCTCACACTTCTCGGTCTTTTGCTGAAGAAGCTTTGCAGTCACCACCTGCTGCCTTCCTGCCCTACACTGTCCCTTGCATGCTGTGTGGGTAACGACCACCTGGAAATCTGCCACCCCAGACTCTGTGGCTTCACACAGGGTCGTGTCTGTTTCCCAGCCAGTTCGCCAACCCCTACAACTCAATTCTGACACTAGTCAGTCACAAATTGAGGGCTCAGTCCCACAAGGCTGCCCCACTTCAGACGCCAGTGCAAGTCTCAGGATCCCCAATTTGCTAGAACAAGGCGCAGAACTGAGGAAAGAGCTATACTTACAATTACCCCTTTATTGTAAAAGATACAAATGAACAGCCGATGAATAGATAATAGGACACAAGGTCTGTGGAACGGGTGTCCGAATCCTCCCTGCCTTCTCTGTGCCCACCACCCTGCCGTACACCAATGTACGTACCAGGAAGCTCCCCGGTCTCTGTCTCCGAGTCTTTAACAGAGGCTCCCTTAAGTAGACATCATTTCTTCAGCTACTGGCCCAATGAACTCGATCTTTAGTTCTGGACCCCTCCCCAGAGGTGGGGGTGGAGCTTAAAGTTCCTTGTAGTACGTGCCTGGAGTTTTTAAAAATGGTTTCCAATTAGAGTTGACACACAATATTGTATTAGTTTCAGGTGTATAACATAATGATTAGACATTTATATAACTTACGAAGTGATCATCCCGTTAAGTTTACTACCCGTCTGACAACATACATAGTTATTAGAACGTTACTGACTATATTCCGTGTCCTGTACCCTACCTCCCCATGACTATTTTGATTGTAACTAACAATCCGCACTTCCTAACCCCTTCACCTTTTCCACCCAGCGCCCTGACCTCCCTCCATCTCCAGCCACCCTCCGCCTGCTCTCTCTATCTGTGGACTATGTTTCTGCTTGGGTTGCTTATCTTGTTCTTTAGATTCCACATGTAAGTGAAAGCATATGGTATTTCTCTTTCTCATTCTGGTTGTTTTTTTAACCCACCAGCCCCCATCTATCTAGTGGCCTTGGCCAAGTCACCTCATTAGCATAACAAAGACACTCCCACCACTCAAAATATCACAAGGAGTTTTCAAGCTCTTGACCAGAAATCAAACAGCAAGCATATGTTTCATTATATACCACTGCCTCTTCCTGGCTCATGCATCCGTGGTGGCTCCGTCTGAAGCAGTGGGTTGGGGCCATGTCTGAGCAGCGTGTCCACCCTGGGGCCCCACTGAGGCTTCTCCCGGCTGTGACAGAGCATTCGCGGCAGGAGGGAGCCAGTGCCACCTGCTGGGGCCTAGGGTCAGCCCCGACACCCTGTTACCCATTCCCCCCTCACATGTCATTGGCTGAAGTCCCCATGCTCTAAAAAGGCATCGAACATGCCCATGTTGGTGGCTCGGCAGTTGTCTCAGCTGCTTCCTGCCCATAGGAGGTTGAGAGTCCAGAGACCATTGTATAAATGGACACATTAAATCCACGTGGCAGGGCCCAAAACAACAAGTGGTGCAAGGAGCTGAAGCCCACCCTGATGACTCCTGGCGTCTTCCCCCTTCGTAGGCCTTCCCGACGCTTCCTAAAATCGAGAATTATACCCAGAGAGTCTGGTTTGAGATCCAGCTCCATTAGTCTTGAGCTGTGCATCCTTAACTAATAATCTAACCACTCTGATCCTGCCTCCTCGTCTGTAAAATGGAGACAGTTACAGTATGTAGCTCTTAGCAGTGTTCTGAGGATTAAATGAGGTAAAGCATCTACGGTGCCTGGCCTGGCGTCTGGTACATGAGAGGCACTTAATAAATAAAAGAAGTCATTAACACCATAAAATGATTGTTGTAACCTGTAAAGAGCTGTGGAGTGCCAAAGTTGCACTGTCTTACCAGAGGGCAGATCCGAAACAGCCTGGCATTCTGCTGAAACTGAGCTCTTACGGCTGAAAGAGAGGTCCCAACGGTGGTCCCCGTTACTCCACGCAGCATCCCAAGGCCTTCCCAGTCACCGCCCCCTTTGTCACCTGCCCCCTTTGTCATCCACCCCCTCTCCAGATCATCAGGAAACAGAAGAGCAAATGCGAGCAGCAGGTGGAGGAAGAGCCGGAGTGGTCCCGACCCGGGAGCTGCAGGGCGAAGTCTCCTGACGAGGGGGCCGCAGCCTCCAACAGCCTCTGGGTGAGTCTCCAAGCAGCAATCCGGGTGTCCCCTGTGCTCTGCCCGTGGAGGTGGGGACAGCACACTGAACCACCTGTGGTTGGCTCATGTGCCCACCAGGCAGCATAGAGGTCCCCCGGGGGTGGTGGGCAGAGGGGGAAACTGGGGCAGCGTGTGTGAGAGTGGAGGGCGGGAGGGGAGAGAGGAGGAAGAAGAAACGCAGAGACTGTTGAAGAACATGGAGGTGGGTTTTTACACAGAGACCAGCTGAGGAAAAAGAAACTCGTCAACAGGCACTTTTTAATTCATTGCAGGGAGAGTCGTACTAAGTCTGTGAGGGGAAAAAATAGCTTTCTCAGGGACATCACTTGCTTTTCTGAAAAGTGACGAAAGAATTGCCACTGTCGTTTGAGCCACCAGCATGCTCACCTGGAGACATAGTCAGGAAGTCGTGGCGGGGATCAGCCTTCTTGTCCGTCACCCTGAAATTGAGCGAAGGGCAGAATCACAGGGCACAGTGGCCTTCCTGTGACCCAGGGCTCTGGGCCTGCTCCTGTCAGCAGAACAGTCCCCAAGCCTGTCAGATCCTGGTTATGTGTGTCAGTGGTCCTGCCCGTAGGGGAGTGTCCTCCCCACAGAGGACGTGCTGGGAGAGGCGGAGGCTGAGCCCGCCAAGCTGGGCCCTCCGTGCAGAGACTCAGAGCGAAGGGAAGGCAGGGCTGGCTGGCTGGGCGTGTGCTCCATCAGCTACAGGTGCCAGCAGTCAGCACAGGTGTCAGGGGCAAGGGCGAAACACAGGTGCGACTTAGAACTGGAAAGTCAGATGGGGGAGAAGCAATGCCTGGTGTTTACCCCGCTGTCCTGGGGGCCAGCGATTCGCCCCCAACCTGCACAGAGTGAAATCAGGGTGTGCGGGGGGGAGCCACGTGGGGAAGGCCGGCACCCTCACCTGCAAAGACTCTCCCCAGGTCTCACCAGTCGCCAGGAGCATGGGGGTAATGAGCAGTCTCTTTACAGCTTTATCAGAGATTTAACTTCATTGATTTATTGGCAGAAGCTTCCCTTGGCGGTGTGTTGGCAGCTTATTTTATTGCTGCTGTGTGCTCAGCTCTAAGGAAAACAAAATCAACAGAAGGTCCATCCCTGCCCTCTAGGACTTTATAATCTGGTCAGCAAAGCAGGGGGACCACGAGACAGTTCACCGTGGGCACGGCTGAAAAGTGGAGTCTGGAACTGGAATTGTAATTCAGTGGGGGAGGGGAGAGAGGACTGGGGAGAGAAGTCTGGTGGTCGGGGGAGGCAGAGAAAGCCTCCTGTAGGTGGTGGCCTGAAACTAAGGCCTGACCTCGAGGGACGGGGCACAGGGGGAGGGAGAGCGTGCCCACAGAGGGAACAGCAGGTGTTGGGGCCTGAGCAGGAGGGACCGCGGGTGCTGACGAAACAGGACAGTGACCATGTCTGGAGAAAGGTAGCTAAATGACAAATGGATGTTGGCCACTTAGGTGTCCATGGGCGTCATCCCCTAAGTGATAACTGTTGTTCTTGTCACTATTACCTTATTTCCACATTTCAAGGTCAAGGTCACTGACACCTAGTTATCCCTGAGTTAGTTATGAGATGAACCAAACCATGTTTTGGTCGGCTGGGCTCCAGGCCCAGACAGCAGCATCTGTCCATGTGTCACTGACCCGCCTGTCCCCCTCCAGGCAGGTCCCCACTTCGGGTGCTCACAGGTGCTGCCTCCCCTTTCCTGCCCCACTGTCCAAACTCACGCGCCAATCAATGTCTGGCCACTTGCTGCACCCGGAGCTGGCCAGCTCTTCCTGCGTCGGAGGCCAGAAGCTCCTTCCCTAACCCCGTCCCGCTGTCCCTGGCACTGAGGAGACCTCGCTCCCAGTGTGTCCTGTTCATGTCAGCCAGTGGCAGCTTGTCCCAGTGACCACAGTTCTTACACCAACCCCATAGACAAAGAGGTTCAGAGTCCTCACGGGAAACTCCAGTCATAATAGCAGCCAGGGGGAGGGCTGCCGAAGATCCCCAGGGCTCGCACGTGACCTTCCTCGAATGAACTTTACAGCCACGATCGTTCACACGATCTTCGCACGGCATTTCATCCGATCCACGTAAGCACACCCTGCATCACCCCCATTTTACAGAGGAGTGAACTGAGGCCTGGCTGGTCTGAGCCACAGGCACTGAGTGGAGGGCCGGGACTGGGGCCCAGGCCCCTGTGCGTGGCTGGCCCCTGTTTCACTGGGAAGCTGTTCCACGTGGATGTTTCATATCCTGGTTCTCATGGTTGTGAAATACCCGCCTTCCCACCCAATGGTCGTCGGGCCTCCGTGTGCTGCCTGCAGCCAAACCCAGAAACCCTGCCACCTCACAGAGACAGAGCGGCTGGGCGTCATTAGAGATGCAGGACAGTCGGCCGCAGCACCTGGAGTGTCAGCAGGGCACAGCAGCGGCGATTAGGGAGGTAGTGGCCCCTGTGCCCTGCAGGACCGGAGAGGCCTTATCCACACCCCTCAGCCCCCCTTGAGCCTCAACCTTCTTAAGTGGCAATGACTCCTCCCAAGGGGTCGGCTGCCCTGGTCCCTGCGCTCGCTGGAGGCATCCAGCCCACCCGGGAGCAGGCGCTGCGTGGGCTGCCTTCCCCCAGGGAGCCGTTCAGAGGCGGAAGTCGGCGCCACCCAGGACTCCCACGTGGGCCCCAAAACACGAACCTCTCAGGGTTTTCTTTTCTTGTCAGAAAACCCGTCCCGCCCAACGCCTGCCTCCCACGCAGCAGACTTCACTGTGGCTTCGACGCCAGTGCAGACGGAGCTGACTCACTTCTTACTCGGTTCCTGGGGCGAGGAGCTGCGAGTCTTCTTTCTAGATTGGGGTCTAGAATAGGGCTTCAGGCGAGCCCCGCTCTGGTTCTAAAGCATCTTCTGAATCTCTTTGCAAGCCATGTCCACTTCCCCCGGGGTGAGTCCACCTTCCAGGTGGGGGGGGTCGGGACGGAGGACCTTGGGGTTGTAGCTTGAAGGAAGCCCGTGGAGGACACTGGTGTACCCCCTTGGGTAAGCACCCCTTCCGGCATAACACTTTAATCCCCAGATCATGCGGCCTGGCAGGGGGTGTGGCCACGTACCAAAGGGGGAGGATCATTGATCGGTTCCTGTCACTACGACCTTCGGTCCTTAACTGGGTGTTTCATCAAGGAGATCCCTGCCTGTCTCTGCCCTGTGAGTTCTCCCTGTGTTGTGATTTGCAACACAGATAAAAGCATATTTTCATCCACAGTATTAGTCTGAAGATGTGAATGCTTCCTTTGTCTTTCTGTACCCACACTTGTCCTCATGGGAACCGCCCCACACAGAGCAGCCCGAATCTGGGAATAAAGAGGACCCAGCATCCCACTCCTGGCTGGTGTAGTTCGGTGGTTTGAGTGAGGGCCTGCTAACCAAAAGGTTGCCGTTTCGATTCCCAGTCAAGGAACAGGCCTGGGTTGTGGGCCAGGTCCCCAGTAGGGGGGGTATGAGAGGTTGGGGCAATCACACACTGACATTTCTCTCCCTCTCTTTCTCATTTTCTTCCCCTCTCTCTAAGAATAAAAGAGAGAGAGAGAGAACCCCCTTTTCCCACTTTCCTCTCTAACCCCCACCTTTCCCTCCAGCCAGCCCTGGGCCCGTGAGGGGCGGCATGTCCAGTCCACAGGGGCCGTCCCTCAGACACTCCGTGCAGTGTGTGGGGGCACACCACCCACCCACGTGGGCCAAGCGCTTTCCCCCAGCGGCTGGCCCACACCAGGCCCTGGTCCTCTGTGCTGGGACCACATCTGAGAAGTGGGACCTGACAGGGACTGACCCTGGTCCAGGCCACCATATTACACAAGTCCCGGAGCCCCGTTCACCTAGGATACACTGTGACTGGCTCGTCCTGGGTTGTCAGGGTGCAAGTGGGAGGGGACAGGAAGAAGTGCTGGTTAAGGAGCAGGCGCTCTGTTTGCCCCTCACAAGATGGGGGTGCAGGTATCGTTAGACCCATTTTACAGATGAGAAGATTGAGGCCAAAGCTTTAGCCTAACTTAACCTAAAACCACCCATGTTCTGATTGGCGGGGCTGGGCATTGAATACCTTTTTCCTCCTCCAGACCCCTTGCCCTGGCTTCTCCCTTTGGAAAATGAGATTGGTGGACTCAGGGTCTCTAAGGTTCTTTTCTGGTCAGAGATTCTAGGCTGCACTGTCCAATGCAGTGGCCGCAAGACCCGAGTGACGATTTATATTAAATGAAATAAAAAATCCTGTTCTGTGGTCACACTGGCTCCGTTTCAGGTGCTTCATAGCACCAGTGGCTGGTGGCCACTCCATTGGACGGAGCAGATGTGGAACATTTATTTCCACCCTCCCGGGACAGTTCTTGTGCAGCACTGGCCTAGGGGGTTAGGTAAAGAAGGGATGAACACAGGGCATGAAGCAGAAGTGTGTCCAGACGCCAGCCGGAGCCTGGGCACGAAGCAGCAGGCCAAGTCTTGCTTCTTGGGGCCTTCACAGAAGGCGGCTGTCCTGCTCGCATGAGCTGTTCTCACCCAGGCTGCACCTCGGCTGCCTGCCCGAGCCCGGCCCCCGCCAGGCCAGCAGGCTGCAGGCTCCAGCATGGCCTGTCTGTGGCACCTGCAGGTGGCAGGCTCTGAACTGAGGCCCCCTGGTGGCGTATCCTCCTTCCCCCTCAGTGCTCCAGCAACCTGGGCCCCCCTGGCTGGGGCAGGGATGGGAGGTTGGGGGGGTGAGGGTCAGGGCAGCAACTGTTCCCAATCCCAGAATGCTGCGGGCTCCTTGGGCTTGCAAAACCCAAACTTAATTCACCCCCATTCAGCCGGGATTTCTCATCTGTTCCCTTGAAAGAGAGTTCAGTGTGATTGTTCCCTTTTTAATTTCCTCTGTTATTGTGTGTCTCTCTGCCAGGAGGGGGGTTGGCACAGCTCGCCTTTCAAGGCCTTATGATGCAATATCCCAAAAGTCACAGGGGTTGTAATTCATTCAGCACCGGTCCCTTGGGTGCGTGTATATGAAAAGGTGTCTCCATAATAATACGGTGACCCCGTTGGTGTTATAATGATGGCAGCAGGGGCCGGCCACACAGGAGGTGTGGGTGACCGGCCGGCTCCGACGGATGCTTCCTCGGTCTCTGCTCCATCCTTTCCCCTTTCCCTCCGCCTTGTCCCTTGGGTCTGTTATCTTCTCCTTCACATGTGTTCTCTCCTCGGACTGAGAGCTGTACGGACCTAAATCAGTTTTCAGTGTTGTGACCGTCACTGGATTGAATGTAACGGCCGTGACTGACCCTACGAGTACGAAGCAAGGCTCTGTCTCAGTTGTTGACTCACTGGACCACTGTTCTCGGTCCCTTTGCCCCCCCAGCCCCCGAGGCAGAAAACATTCTCTCTCTGTTTCTCCTTGTGCACTCCCAGACGGCAAAGACTGTTGTGAAGCCGTGGTCGGTGCCTCCGGGAGTCTGCCCTGTTGGCCGTGATGACGATTACAGCAGTCACGGCGACTCCGAGCTGTTCTGGGGGACGTAGGTAGAACACACCGTGAGGGACCGTGCAGTTGACCCGTGAACAGCATGGTTAGAACTGCACAGGTTCACTTCTACGTGGGATTTTTTTTCAGTAAATACTATAAATGTATTTTCTCGTCTTTATGATTTTATTAATATTTCCTCCAGCTTTACTATAAGAAAACAGTATATAATACAAACAGAATACAAAATGTGTGTTAAGTCAACTGTTCGTGTTACCGATAGGCTTCCAGTCAATCACAGGCTATTCGCAGTTAAATTTTGGGAGAGTCAGAGTTATACGCGGATTTTTGACTGCACGGGGTTGGTTCAGCGTCCCCAGCCCCCATGTAGTTCAAGGGTCAACCGTATGATGAACGCAGCTGATGATCTCACTGTTTCACCCAGAGCCTCGGGGCCGGCAGGTTCAGTGGTGGGTCTGCTGGATTGGGGCGCAGTAGCCGGGAGAGTTCCGCTCCCAGGCTTTTGGCAAAGGCTCAGGCCCCTGCCTAACAGGGCGGGGAAACGTGTGCACTTACAGCCAGACAGACCGGAGCCGAGTCCCTGCCTCTGCCCTCAACGCCACCCACGTGCCTCGGGAAGTTGTACAGCCCTGCTCCGGTTTACTCCTGCCCACCCAGTCCGACTGCGAGCACGGGTACGGTGTATGGCCCGGAGACAGACCTTCGTAAACACTCGTATTGGAACCAGTATGATTGGAACTAAGTGCTTTTACGTGCCAGGTGTGATCCCTTTACATGAGGAAACTGAAGCTTGGAGTAGTTGAAGTTTCCCCCAGTATCCCGTGGAGCAAGAGGCGGGGCTGGCTGGCATGGACCCACAACTTAACACCCGCCCCTTAGTTAGTACCTGAAGCGTTAGGGGCGGGGCCTGTGTGGAGGCTCCGTTCTCCAGCCCCTCGCTGCCCGGCTCTGGGGCTCGCCCGTTGTTGCAGCACCGCCGACCCGTGGGCTCCACCCGCCGTCCCCGGCCCTCCTCACGCAGATGTGCAGACGCTGTGACTCAGGCCGACCCTTCTTGCCACCACCGGCCCAGCTTCTTCCATGAACCTTAGGAGGGTGGGGGTCAGAGGAAGGGAAGAAAAGCAGGGTCTGCGGGTGGGAAAGAAAGGGTGGGTACAGAAAGCCCAGCCAGGGTTATGAGCGAGTAAATGACTCAAGTAATCCTCGCCTTGCCAGAGCCGGGACGTGGAACTAACTGGTGAATAAGAGTGTTGTCGTGGCGCCATCTACTGCTCCATGTGTTCATTGCACCGAACTGGTGGCGGAGCCAGGTCTGGGTCCCTGAACCGGGGCTTTGCCACCCTGGCTGGAGACAGTGGGCCAGCAGTGTCCTGAGACCCGTGGAGACAGTTTTGGGGTTTTTGTGGTTATCGGGGTATAGTTTTTTTCTAATGTGAAGCAATGGTTTGCCTGAAATAGATTATAACAGTCCAGCATCCCCAACTCTCTCTCAAAGAATGCTTATCCATCTTCCCAGGTGGGACCAGAGAAAGATTTTTCATTCTGGGGTCTTGGCTTTTGCACCTTGGAGGGCATTTTTGTCCCGTGAAAATGGACCCCAGCCACCTTTGACACGTATCTGCATAAAATATCATTTGAGCCACTACAAAATGAAACCTTAAATAGTGTCCTCTTCCCCTTTTAAGACATGTGCTCCGGGACTAACAGTGAGGAGCTGGGAGACGTAAAAGGGAGGGTCAGGGAATAGGAAGTAGTTTCTCTGAGGCGGCAATGATGTTGCACCCGGCAACAGGCTGTCAGCGACTCAAGGCCACACCTGAGTCCCACAGATTCAGCCACACGCCCGGGACTGGGGAGCACACCCACAAAGGACTGTCCCAGCCTCCAGGGAGCCCACAGTCTGTGGAGGAGCCGACAAGTTGGTGCATGACCGTGACAGCGAACGGGGGCTGTGTGATCTCACGGACGGGGAGTCTCCTGGCCCCAGTGCATGTGGGCAGGGTGTCCAGGGGTCCGTCACCCTGAATACAGGAGCGCTTGCCATGGGAGGACTTTTGTCCTTCGTTTTTATAGTGTTACTTGCCAATGGACCATCAGCTTTGATCTCTGTCCTCTCCAGTAGCCACTTACCATCTGTCAAGGGCTCAGCAAAATCTGAGCCGACTCCCCAAATGCCCAACGCCGTGAAGACCTAGGGACAGGAAGAGCACTTACAGTGCCCTCAGAGGAAGGACGTCACACCAGTGGCGAGCCAGCGGATGTGTGGGTGGGCTGGGCTCTCCTCCAAGTGAGACCTTCCCTCCGTGATGTGAGTGGGGAGGATGGTGGGCTTCCTTCTTTCTCTTGGTGCCTAATTATATTTAAGAAATTAGTAAAAAAAATCAGGCCCTTCTGAAAGCCCACCCTGCAGTGAGCCCACCCTGAATCACTTTCACCGCATTGCATTCATTTATGTCCATTTCTGGGCTGGCCACCATGCCAGGGGCTGCAGAACGTCACCGTCAACAGGCCCTTAATGGCACTCGGTCAGTCACAGTCTCATGGGGACTTCAGGCAGGAGGTAGATGTCTGCGGCAGACTGTGGCGTAGCCCAGATTAGTGCAGAGGAAGCCCAGGCCCCAGCCCAGCTTCCCATAGACCATGGCCTGTTTGAACTGAGTACATACAGCACCTTATCAGACTGATGAGCTGGGGGAGCTCATCCGGCCCCTGGGCTGGGCTGGGCTGACCTGCAACACTGACTTGAAAGTCAAGTCTGGGGGCCCCTCTGCTCTCTCCTGTCTTCAGAGGGATGTGAGGGATGTTGTGACCCTGCACATAGCTCAGAGGTTCCATACTTGTTCTGCTGACCCATTTTCCTCCTAGCTCGGCCCCAGGGCCTGGTGGGAGAAAACAGAACAGGTTTCCCAGGACCCCTTCTGAACTGGAACTGGCCTGCACCACCCTCCCCAACGAGGAGCACCAGGTGCCCTGCGTCTGAGAGCTCCTGGGCCCCGGCGCAGTGCTAAGCATGGATGCTGGGCCTCGCTCCTCTGCGTGCTCTGTGTCTGTTCTCAGGCCGGTTCTCCGTCCTTGGGGCCAGGCTGCCAAGTGCATCGTCGCCTCCTCGAACTCGAGCCGGGGGCTGGGTGCTGCCACCCAGATGTCCTGGTGCTGGTGTTGGCATTCCCCTTGTTTATTCTAAACACCTTTTTAAAGCTCCCATTTATTATGCATTTACTGTGTGCAGAGCAGGGTTCAGTTTCCACACCTCTCAAGAAATGAAGTCACTTTGTGTGGGTTCTAGATTTAGCAGGCGATCTCTTTGTAAGTTATATAAATGTGTCATACTATGTTGTCCATCGAAACTGGTACAATTGCACGTTCATTGTAATTGAAAACGAAAAAGGGGTTTTAAAAAAAGGTAATGAAGTCATTTGGCCAAGGTGTTAGAGCAGAAATGGTGTTGGAGCTGGGGCCCAACTGACTCCAGGGTCCAGCTCCAGCCACCCAGGGCCCCGCCCACAGCTCTCAGCATGGACAGGTGCCCTCCTTCCGCCCAGCACTTTTCTCCCTGGGAGAGGAGGTATAGGGTGCTGTGCCCAGACCTGCCAGCAGGTGGAGACAGACCACTCAGGGGACCCAAGTCCCTCGTCAGGCCTCGGATTCAGGTTGTTTCCAGTGGCTTTGCCCTTTCCCTCCTTAGTTATCCATAGAAAAAAAGACAAGTAACTCACCCACACAAGATAATTCCTTCATTACACAACAACAACAAAAATTAGTCTCTGATGGGTAAAATTCTCTGTATATGACATTTGAGCTGTAGATAATATTTGTTATATATATATATATATATATATATATATATATATATATATCCCAATTTCAACATTTTTCCTGTTTGTCAGTCGTTGGATATCCCATTTATCCCAGATCCCCTTGGGTTAGAGTTTATTGTCCTTTCTTTAATTCGGGTGCTGAAGCAGACTAGGTAGCAACAGTCTTGGACTTGTGGAGTGGCCATACTTGGCTCATTTATCTATTGCAGCATTTACATTGTGCTTGCTGTTTACATTGCTGGAACTCAGGTTTGGAGTCTTGGAGGAAAAGTTGCTTTGGCTTGTACCTCACAGAGCCTGCCCTAAGGAATGCTGGTGGCTGGGGCGGGGGTGGGGGGCGGGTAAGGAGCCCAGGGAGCACCAGCTGTGACTGGCCGCACATGTCTCCAGGGCCCTCAAGGAGGCCTGGCCTGCTTGCAGCGGACTGAACAGGAGTCATTTCTACCATTCTGTGGCCTCATAATACCGATTTGCAGCCTCTGAGCCTGAACACGAGAAAAGCCCACACATCATGTCTGCTTCTTGCTGCTCGGTCCGTGGCAAAGCTGAAGGCGGTCTGCACGGTGACTGCATCCCACGAGTTCCCCTCTTCCCCTCTTTCCTTCCCACAGCGACCCCAGTCTGCGTTCTCACCCACCAGAGGAGATGCCCTGAAGACCTCTTCGCTGGAGGCTGTGTCCAGGCAGCTGGGGGACCCGGGCCAGCAGCCGAGGGAGGAGTCGGCGTTGCCCAGCTGGGAGAGCACAGACAGGCTGGACCAGACAAGTAACTGTTCTAAGCAGCATCTCGTTGGTCTGTGGGTTTCAAAAGGGCAGTTGGGAGGCTTCTGGCTGTCACGTGGCCGCTCAGCCCTTCTCCTGTCAGTCTGAGTGATGTGTGCCCCTTCGGGGCAGCCAGGCCACGGACTCACGAGGCCTCCCGCACAGCACACAGTCCGCAATGTGGCTGTGTTTTCTGCCTGGACCCTGTGTTCCTGAGAGACCCATGGGGCAGCGGGGGCTCCCGGGCAGGCATGTGAATCCCACAGCCCACTTCCGCTGTCTGTAGCATGGGTGGAGAGTAGGACTAGCCACTAGTCTGTGGACTAGCAGGGTGTGTCTCACTTCCTAAGGCCAGGGGCGCTAGTCTACACTAGCAGGGCATGTCAGTGTTCCAAGGGATTGGGGTCCCAGCCCCTGGTTATTAGAGTGTCCTTTCTAAAACCTGACGTACCTATTTGCTAGGGTAACACCTGTAGCTATGCCAAATGAATCAAACATTTAGGTTTAATGCAATAGTTTCACTCCTCATCAGACAACAGGGCAGTCTTCTGCTGTCCTTTTGGGGCCTCTGAGTCCTCTGCTGGGTCATCCACATCCCGCCTGCAGGTGGAGGAAGTGAGATGGAGAAGTCAGTGCACCTGCTGCCTAAAGGCCTGAGCAGGGAAATGACACACATACACAGCACTTTCACTCCCAGTCCCTGAGCAGGAGCTAGTCCCTTGGCCCCACTCGATGCAGGGGATCCTGGGAAATGTAGTCCTGGCTGGGAAACCGCACCCCCGCAGCATGGCTCTGCCATGAACTGCAGGAGTAAAGATGCTCACCCCACCCCACACAGGTCAGTTTCTTCCTCACCTAGAAGCACACACTTAGGTCATGGAAGCCAGGTACATTTGTCCCTGCTCCCTGTTATCAGTTAAGTCTCAACCCATTTCCTCAGCCACAACAGCCATAAATCAGCAGCAAAATACCTATTTTAGAAATGTGTTTTTAAAGGTTGTGCTGCCACTTCTACTCTGTAAGGGAAAAGACTTAACTAACAGCTACATAAGCAAATTCCACTGTTGTTACAGCACAAAAAGTAAACACACCAGTGTTTTTAAATAGTCATTCTAAAGATTTTACAAAAGAGAGCATTTCCATGTTACCCTTTTAGTACCTGTCAGTAGAAACTGCAAAGAATTATGTGAGCACATGAAATTTTCCTTATGGATGTACATGGTTTGGAGTTTTATTTTTTAAGTGTATTTTTCCTTTCTAGATATGCCTTCCTTTTTTTGTTAAAGATTTTATTTATTTACTTTTATTTTCTTTACAAGATTTTGTTTATTTGTTTTTAAAAGAAGGGAAGGGAGGGAGAGAGGGAGAGAAATATCAATGTGTCATTGCCTCTCACGTGGCCACCACTGGGGACCTGGACCTGGCTCACAACCCAGGCATGTGCCCTGACTGGGAATTGAACCAGCAACCCTTTGGTTCACAGCCCACACTCAATTCATTGAGCTACACCAGCCAGGGCTATTTATTTACTTTTAGACAGAGGGGAAGGGAGGGAGAAAGGGAGAGAAACACGAAAGTGTGGTTGACTCTCTCATGCCCCCTACTGGGGACCTGGCATGCAATCCAGGCATGTGCCCTGACTGAGAATCAGACCAGTGGGCCTTTGGTTCACAGGTTAGCGCTGCACTAAGCCATGCCAGCCAGAGCTAGATACGCTTTTCTTTACCCCCCTGTTGGCCAGCATATCCATATTCATATTCATTTATTCATTCATTCCTATTTTTTTCTTTGTGTCTCACCATGGATTGAAAATTCTCACAAAGAAGGGACTCTCAGATGCCACAGGACAAAAAACAGCACTTGGAAATTCAAACTCACAAACTGATAAACTTAAAGGATATTATAAAGCCTCCTAAAAGACACTCCATTTCACAAATAGTTCCCCACTGAGCTATGAACATGCCAAATACATTTGCAGAGGGTTTTGGTTTTCAAACATGATTGTTTGCATAATTTCCTGTAAAATAAGGCACCTGCATGTAATTTATCCAGTATTAAACATAAAATTCAGTTCAACATCATCACACACACATACAAGATTCCCCACTCTGCCCAAACATCCCTGCATCTCGGAGGAAGACTGACAATGAAAATAAATGAATGAACAAAGCCCTTCTGGATGTCTCCCTGCTGGTCCCCCTGAGCAGCACTGGGCCGAGACGTGCCGGAGTGTCCAGGCTGATTGCAGTGTCCCTGACAGCTGTCCAGTAGGTCTGGCAGGAGGCAGATTCCTCCCGGGGGCACAGCTCAGTCTCAGCAAAGCACAAGTGTAGAACAGGAGGCCCAGAGATGGAGGTCACCTTAGCAGAGGAACATCCACTGGGCTATTTTCAGCAGCTCTGTTTATGCCTCAGGGGAGGGTTGGTGCCGGGGCACCATTGGGGTCAGTGACGGGGACACAGTGGCCTAAGCAAACCACAGCCACTCTGATGTAAGTCTCAGCAGTGCTTACAGCAGTTAATGGATTCCCCCCAACACACGATCACTCCAGAGACCTGGAGGAAGCATCTCCTGGGTTCACAGCTGGGACATGAAATTCAGGGGACAGTCCCTGTGAGGCCTCAAGGGACTTTCTGAAGACCTTTAAGCCTGCTCCCAACTAGGCATGCACCTATGGACTTGCTAGCATTGGCTGCTCCCTAAGTCCCCGGAAGCCAGCCACAGGGAAAGTGACAGCCACACCCCCTCACTCTAAGGTGGTAACAGCCCTCTCTGGTCTCTCCCTCCCTCCCACCTGCAGAGCTGGCCCCAGTTTTGCAGAGTCCCGATGGGAACTGGCTGGCCTTGAAGGATGGCGCTCCGCCCCCAACCCGCCTGCTGGCCAAGGCTAAGAGCCTCACATTTCAGGCCCTGGAGGCTGCTTCCAGTGTGGCGTCCGCCTACGAGGAGATGGGCTCCGACAGCGAGGAGGACTTTGACTGGGGTGCGGCCCTGAGCACGCTGTGCCCAGGGCCCCAAGGTCTGCCCAGGACCCCCCAGCCTCAGCCCACGCAGGCTCAAGGCTTGGACCGTGGCCCTTCTGCCACCTCCGCTTCCTCTAGGCTGTCTCCCAACCCCGAGGCCATGTGCTCTGACTCCGAGACCTCCTCCACTGGCTCTTCCCGGGAAGCTGGGCGTCGAGCCAGGCTGTCCTGGCTACAGAGGAAGGCCCCCAGGAATCCTGCAGCTGAAAAGATGCACCTCCAGGGAGAGCTGGACGTGAACTTCAATCCCCAGGCAGCCAGCAGAGAGACCTCGGACAGCAGCGAGCCCGAGGAAGCCCCCCACACCACAGACCGGCGGGCCAGGAGGTGGAGAAGGGCCCGAGGGGGATCCGAGGAGCCAAGCAAGGAGCTCCCTTCCCCAAGTGCTCGTTCCCAGGAACCGAACACACACCAGGTAATAAAATGGGCGCGTGCAAGAACACACACACTCTTTCCAGAAGGATGTGCCCTCCTCCAGGCACAGCATGCAGAGAGAGTCCTGAGTTAAGAATTCACAGACCCTGATTCTCCTCTTGGTTTTGGCTGCTAAGTAGCTGAGTGACCTAGGCAGGTCATTTCAACTCCCTGGGGTTCCAGGCCTTCTCTCGGGGATGACAGCTTAGAGCTGAAAGTAGGTTTGCAAAGCATGGCCCAAGACCACAGCCTCAGCACGACCAGGGAATTGGTTGGAAATGCAGATTCTCAGACCCCGTGCCAGGCCTGCTGAATCAAAAACTCGGAGGCCAGGGCCCAGCCATCTGTGCTGTAAGGAGCTCTACTGATAATACGACTGTGCATCGAAGTTTGAGGGCCACCGGCTTAGGGGCCAGGGGCCTAGAGTCAGCCCTCCAGGGCTCAAATCCAGCTGCGCAACCCGGGGAAGGCGTACTCTCGGTCTCAGTTTCCTCGCCTGTAAAACAGAGGTATTGGAAGGGTTGAGAGGCATGAATACAATAATATTTATGAAGAGCTGCACTCTGCCCTACACACAGCCAGACCTCAGGGAACGTTATTTCAATGTGGTCATTCGGGGCACGATTTCCCGGAATTCTGTGAATCCTTAGTCCATATCACACCCCCTCTCAGAATTCTTGGTGGCTCTGCCTGTTTGGTTTATTCTTTTGTGTGGTGTGAGAAGGTGGTCTAGTTTCATTTTTCTGCATGTATCTGTCCCGTTTTCCCAACACCATTTATTGAATAGACTGTTTTTATCCCACTGTATGCTCTTGCCTCCTTTCTCAATTATTAATTGACCATAAAGGCATGGGTTTATTTCTGGACTCTCTATTCTGTTCCGTTGATCTGTGTGTCTGTTTTTAAGCCACTACCATGCTGTTTTGATTACTACAGCTTTGTATCATAGTCTGACATCAGACAGCATGATTCCTCCAACTTTATTCTTCTTTCTCAGGATTGCTGTGGCTATTTGGAGTCTTTTGTGGTTCCATATAAAATTTTGGCATATTTGTTCTGATCCTGTGAAATAAGCCTTTGGTATCTGGATAGAAATTGCACTGAATCTATAGATTGCTTTGGGTAGTATGGACACTTCAATCATGTTAATTCTTCCTATTTGTGAACGTGGAATATGCTTCCACTTATTTGTGTCTTCTTTAGTTTTTTTCTTCAGTGTTTTATAGTTTTCCAAATATAGATCCTTTACATCTTGGTTGCTTTATCCCTAGGTATTTTATTTCTTGGACACAATTGTAAGTAGGATTGTTTTCTTAGTTTTGTTTCTTTTTCTGATCATATAGGTGTATAAAAATCAACTGATTTCTGGATACTCATTTTGTATCCCGTTGCTTTACTAAATGTATTGATCAGTTCTAGCAGTTTCTTGGCGGGGTCTCTAGGGTTCTCTGGTAACCAGATTAATTTGACTTTCTCTAAATACATGCTGCTCATCCCCAGCTCTGCGCCTGTGGTCTCACCCTGCCCTGTCCTCCCCTCTTCCCGGAGGAGGGCTGCGATCACCAGGGACCAAACACCCAGCTGTGTGGAGCCCCACTGGCCTTCCCATGGCAGCATTTTCTAAACTCAGAACTGACACACGTAGCCGGGAACGTTGAAGTGACCTTGCATGAGCGGCAGGTTGCAGCATCTGAAACTGAGAGTGCTAAGGAAGATGTATCATGTCCCCTCTGCCCTCCGTGGGGACATCACAGTCACTCTCTTGCATTACTATCAACTTTGACTTTTTATGCGCCTGGAGCAGCCACACCCACGAGTGTCACTGCCCCTTCAGTAGTGCCCAGCCATCATGCCCTGCGCTCTTAGTTTGGGTTCCACCTCAAGTGGGTCCTGAGTCAGGGACTGGGATGTAGGTTTCTGTGGGAGGAGATCCCAGGAAGCACGTGAGTGAGATGGGAGGGAGAAAGGCCCTTCAGGCACATTATAGGCCTGGGGGCTCCAACCTTCCAGTGACCCTGAGAGAAGCCGCATGGGTCTGCGCTGAGAGCTGTCGCACTGGGAGACCGGGGGTAGTTACCATCGCCTCCCACCTCCCACTGGTGGGGACCCACCCCACCCAGGGTACCAGGTTTGCCGGGATGGTGCCTGAGACAGGGAAGAAGAGAGAGACTGGGACTAAAGTAGGGAACTGTAAGTGGGCCAGAAACTGCCCCTGGGGCTGCAGGAAACTGATGCAGATCTAGGGGACACGGGCTGAGGACACGGCCGGCATCTGCCACAGTGACGGTCTGTGAACGTGCCAGCCAGGCCCCCGATCCCAGGGGCCCCCATGAAGATGGCTGTGGACACACTGGCCCTTAGGTCGCAGAGTTCGGCATCAGTCCTGCCTGACCTGCTGATACAGTGCCTTCTAGAAGAAGCCCTGTAGTTGGTCCTAGCTCTCACCTTGTCCTCGGTAAAGCAAGCCCATTACAAATCTGCCCCTCTGGGAGTGTTGTGATGCAGAGTAGAAATGTAACATTCCGTGCCACCGTGAGTCATTATTATCTAGCTCAAGTGCAGACTGTTTTCCGGAGACTGAGTAACTTCCCTCTGGGATATTCTTGTGGATTGCCTGCACACTTGCAGGTATAAAATGCCCTACATGCACCAGCACTAGGTGTCTGAAGCTTCCTATGTACGCTGAAGCGGCCGGAAAGTTGCCTTCTGATGTTAATCTTTGCAAGACACCTACAGGGAGGAGGCAAGGGCCCAGACAAAGGTGCTGGGACTGGCGTTATATCCCCCTTCCTGGCAGTGTCCTCTTCTTCTCGCTAGGTGGCAACAGGGTTGCATTTCCAGGGACTTCAAAACCCTGGCCTCCTGCCTGGTCGTCCCTTCTATTTAGTTTACTATATATTGTAAATTTGAATACATTTCCTACGTTTCAAAACACAGATATAGTCCTTCTTGACCACAACCCTAAGTCTCTGTCATCTTCCCCCAAGTGACAGCAGTTGTATTTGTGCATTTACACACGCACGGTACATTTAGAAATACAGTTCTGTAAATGTATCTGTGTTTTAGCAAAACCAGCATCTTTCTCTCCATATTCTTCCACCTCTTTCTCTTAACAAAAAGCAACAGAGATGACAGTGCACCCAAAGGTACACACAGCACCTGTAGAAGATTGCGTCTTGTGGTCCCAAGGAGGAGGGTGGGAGTGGGAGCCATCCATCAGGGGGGAGGCAATGAGGGTACAGCCCTTCTTCACCTGGGGAGAATTTCTGAGCAGACAAATCTAACAAAAGCCTGACTTTTTAGTATCGCTCTGCACCACGCACAAAAATTTTAAGCAATGCTAGTGACGAAAGACGTCTCCCCACGTGGGCAGGCTGCTCCCCGCGCCCAGCCAACCCCCGGGGTCTCCACTGCTCTCTTGGGGGTGGGGAGGAGTCAACAGTCAGTAGTGCCGGGAATGATGGTGTTGAAGGCTCTTCCCCGTCGATGTTATAAACAGTACTGCAGAGAATATCATTGTGCCGGTCTCTTTGTAAAGGCGCAGGAGGTAGAATCGCTGACCGGAAGGGTATAAAGATCTTTCAGTTTAGTGAGTTCTTGCCAAATCAAGCTCCCAAACCGCCTAGTGATTTGCACGGTCCACCGTAGCGCAGTTTGAGTGTCCACAGGACTTAGTGTTGTTAGTCTGTTACATTGTCCCAAACTTACATGAGGAAAAGAGTACATTTCTCTTTAGTTACCACTGTCACACTTTCTACTGAAGTTGAGCCTTTTTTCTATATTTAAAGCTCTTTGCGTGTTTTCTTCTGTGAAAGACACATTTCCCTCCCTCTATTATTGTTGCACCATTTGCCTTTTTCTTGTGATTTTTATGAATTAGTTTTATTTTGTAATTATATTTTCTATTTCAGGGTTTTTATCTTTTTTTCTCCCCTTTATTCCCCTCCACCCTGTACCCCAATCCCACCATCGTTTCTCCACCTTAGTTCATGTCCATGGGTCATACATATAAAGATTTTAGTTTTTTGATGGTTACACATTGACAGTATTCTCCCCTGGTTTATCACTTCTGCCTTAACTTTATTTAAGTCTATTCGACATGCAAAAATTTTTGTTACTAGTAATTTCTAATCTTTTTTCTTAATAATAATGTATCAATTATTTCTTTTATCTTTTTTATTTGGTACCTCATTTAAGAAAGCTTCAAATCCCCCAGGTTTATAGGAATATTTTCCTAATACTTCATAGTTTTGTATTTTACATTTGGCCCGTTAGTCCATTTATCCTTTATGTTTCTGGATGATATGAGGGGTAAGATCTAACCTTATTTATTTGGATTAAGTATTTCTCACCAAAGCATTATTAAATAATTCCTCGTCTACCTGCTGGCTTCAGATACCCTCTTTAATAATATCTATTAACCTTCTTTTTCTTCCACAAGTCTAGTGTTTTACTCTCTGTTGTTCTGCTGATCCAGAAGTCCCATTCACACACGAATACTTTATTTTACCTAAATGAATTTTGTAATATATTTTGATATCTGATCGACGGTCTTCCCTTTACTGTTGCTTTTGTTAATGACATTTTCTAAAAGTGTCTTGACTTGTATCAATTCTTTTATCCTTATACATGATTTTTAAAAACCTGCTTTCTAATACCAAAACAACATTTTTTTATTGTTTTGATTGGATTGCTCCAAACGTATTCACTATTTGGGAATAATCCACATCTTGATACATCTGAGTCTCCTCCAAGGTCCTGCCTCCTGAAGCTGGCATTCATTTGCCTTCATATCCGCCGTCTTCACTTCCCCGATTCCCCCGCTTCATTGCTGCTGTCTTCATCCGTCTGTGGTTTTCCTCCTGTCCATCTCCTCAGTCCGGCGAGTCGCCCAGACGAGGCAGCAGCCTGTGTCTGCTGGCCGCCCCCCCCCCACCAGCCATGACGGACAGATGCAGCCAGCTGGACACAGAAGTTCTTTCCCACATCTTCGACCTTCCTCCCTGACCTCAAACCCCCTCCTCACGTGCATGTCTCTGTTCAAGCTGCCATCACAGACAGATGAACACATCTTTCTGTCCTCTTGGATGAACTCCAGTGCCCTGGTGCCCGTAGGCAGCACGGAATGTGTTGGTCAGAATCTCTTCTCCCCAACTCTCTGCAGCAGATAATTTCAGTGTTGGGCTGAGGCCCGAAGGGCACCGAATTTTCCCTTTGGACAGGGGTGGGCAGACGGAGGGTTACAGTCGTTACTCCACGGAACACAGACTATATTCCTGTGTAATTATTTATCAATTACTGTATTATTTTCTGCATGAACAACTGTCAACCTACTTTGCCTCACCCTGTATATAACATTTGCTTCTCCTCTTCAAAATTATTTGATTTGTTGTTTCTTTAAAAAGCAAGCATCCTTGCCAGGACGGTAGGTGTGTGTTTATTTCATGCTGTGGCACGTGATGTGTGCACTTAGGTACTTTTTCAGCTCTGGGGCATTTTCCTCTGTCACTGTGACTGTTGCTTCTCCCGGGCCACCCGTCATTTGTATGCTGTCATCGATTCTTTGTCTCCTACGTCTGCAGTCATCTCTCACTGTTTTCCCGCTTCTGTCTTTCCCCCGTTTGTCCTCTACCTCGCTCCTGTTTTCCCAGGATCAGTGCTGCTGCGCCGCTTCAGCTGCAGGTTCCGATCCTGCGGCAGTGGTGTCGGTCTCTCTTCCATCTGTCGTCTCCTCAGTCTCCCCATTTTGTCTCATCTTATGGTCTTTCCGTCCGCGTGCTTATCGCCTGGAACTCACTTCCCCCACTTCACAGACTCTCTGAATTATCCCTTTTTAAGGCAAATGCAAAACGGCTTGCAGACATTGTGTCCTGGCTGTTAGTAAAGCTTGCGTGGTGTCTTCCAGCTAACTTTTGCTTTTTTGCTCTGTGGAGTTTTCCCGTAGCTGCATGTTACCATTTTCTGGTAGTCATTTTCGAGTAAGGATAATGCTTTCCCCCACCTTTTGTTTGCCAATATCTAGCACACTCGAGTCATTTCCCCTCTGCTGGCTGAAGACAGGAGTTGATTACTGTCTCACTATGGGAGTCTTTGAACAGATGGCTAAGGACCTAGCCGCACACGCGTAAATTGAATAAGGGAAGGGATAGAAAACATCAAAACTACTGTTTCCTTCTGCGTGGTTTTTATAGACTCCATCCTAGGGCTTGCCATTTCATGACCCCACCTCCAAGGATGTAGCTTGGCTCCATGGCTGGTTCCTCCCTTCACACATTTAGGTTGTTGGGGGAAGTGTGTCTTCTAAGTGGCCCTAGAACAGGGCAGTGTTAAGGGGGTTGGGGGCGGGGCTGAGCTTTGGAAGCCCGAAGAGCCCGCCACCGCGGCAGCAGGCTCAGATGCTGTGTTTTTGTTTCCTTGTTGTAGGATGAGCATTTCTCTTACATTCTGGACCAGGGTTTGAGGCCGGGAGAATATTCTCACTACAGCAGGTCCTCTGAGTATCGTCATTTTGTTCAATGCTGTTTCATTGTAACCTTGATGAGGATATTAAACAATTCGTTCCCAGCCAGGGCCGCTGTCTGTGTGGAGTCTGCCCCTTCTCCCCATGTCTGTGTCATTTTCTCTGGGGACTCCATTTCCCCCCACATCCCGAAGACATGCATGGGAGGTGAACTGGCATGTGTTCCTCGTCCCAGCCTGAGTGGGTGTGGGTGTCCGTGCGTGGGGCTGTCCAGGCTGGGTCCCACCTCACACCCTGAGCTGCCTGGACAGGCTCCAGACCCTGGCAACCTTGAACTGGAGTAAGTGGGTTAAAAAAAATAATGGTCTTACTTGTTTTCATTAGCCTTTCTGAAATGTCTGTGTCGCTCCAACGTATTTCCATATTTAACATTAGAATTGTTCCATTTTTTTTTTTGGTGATGTTTTTGTGATCGGAAAGATGACATAGGGACTTCCCTTCTGTTCGCGTCCACTGGCCTGTGGCCAAAATGGTTTCATTGCACATCGTATCACTTAAAGTCTCAGTTTCCAAGAACCTATTGACAACATCAGGGGAAGCCTTACTGTATCAATGTCTATGTAAGTCTTTGTTCATCTGCCTGGTAACTGTTACGTGGCCGCATATCACTCAGTTAGTTTTTAAGCTCTCGTGGCTTTTGATAATGATGCTTCCACCTTGTTCAGTGTTGCACCTCCAGGGTGTCGGGTCCCCATCCCCACAATGGCAGGTCATTACAGGACTCTGGGGCCCTCACTCAGCAGTGATTGAGTGCTCAACTCAAATGAAACATGAGGTCTGTCCTTGCAGTTTTTAGGATTCCATTCTTTAAGGTTCTGCTCAGATATCACCTGTCCCAATTCCGCTTCCCCGACGACATTCCCTTCAACCAACCAGGGGGCCCTCTTGAGACCCCCCCCCCCCCCGCCGTGTGTGTGTGTTGAACCCAGCGTAGCCCAATACTCTGGCTGGGTAGTCCTCCCTCCCTCAGACCATGACCTCCACCACAGCAGGGACATCGTCCCTCTCGCTTTCCAGCTTCAGTGCCCATCCCAGGGCCCAGCACATAGTAGGCACTCAGTGCATGTTTGCTGAGTAGGACTGAATCATCATTGACTAATTCTTCCTAAGTTCTTATATGATAAAAAAAAAATAGGCTAACGCCGCAGTCAAGCAAAGCAGAGTTAGGATGAGTTGACCGTCGGGCGTGTGAAATCTGTCGAGTGAGGTGGTAGGAGAAGGCTACCAGGTGTGGGCTGGCGCCAGTGGCTGCCTCCCTGGCTGATCTAGTGCATAACACAACAGTAGCAGCCAAACTCTTCGCTGGGAAAAGCTTGGTTCCTTCGGCTGATGCTCAGCCCCTGCAGTCGCTCCAGGCCCATTTTCTCCCAACCCCCAAGTGCCCCCCTCTCTCCACTTCTAGGCCTTTTTCCTCTGACCACGCCAAGCAGGCTCACCTATCCTGGGTCTGGCTGGTCCTGCTACTTCCTCGTTAAGAATGCCTGGCCTCATGTCCCTATATTAAAGTCATTCTCATCTTTCAAGGACCTGCCAGTGGACCTTGTTTCGCTGACCAGTCCAGTGATTGTGTGTTTCTACAACCTATGTCCTTCTAATCGCCTTTATGTTGTCAGCTGCCCTTCGCATTTGCTCGATTATAAACTGTGTCCAGCCAATTTGATGCACAAATATCATTAAGAACGAAAGACTGCCACACATCTTTTTAGCAAAACGGGTTGGTCCAGATTCTGGTTGCAAACGTGTGGGATAAAGCCCTTCCCGTTGAATGACTGACTAAATGAAAACACCGCATTTCTGTCCTCATTCCTACATTGTGTACTCACTGATTCTCGAGTTGGAGATAATTCACCTCGGACACAATCATCGGAAGACTCTCAGTCTGAGGTGCTGTGTCTACAACCATCTTGGCCACCATTGTCGGAGTCCAGACGGCTGTGCCCCGCTTCAAATTCGTCTCCTGAGTCACCAAATAATCTCAAAGTATTGTTCTCTGTCAGTTTCTCCTCTTTGCCATTATGAAATTTTGAATTCTCAACTGTACACAATGAGCTGAAAGCAAACTCAAAATGGTGATGATTGATTTCGCTACTGAGTCATCCTTCTGGGCAATTCTATTCTTCTCTAATATTGTCTGAGTCTCTTTCAGCATAATTGGGAATAACTGATGAGTAATAATGAAAGATATCTCCCAAGATGATGCACTAGCAAAATATTTCAAAAGTTAGGAAAAATAAGATCACAAAGATCTCATTACATACCTTAGATTTTTAAAAGGGCCTAATGTGCCCATAGAGTAAATGCAAAATAGAATGAGTTATATGTTATTTAAAATATAAGTCAATTTTCTCTATATTCTCTAGAAGCCCTTCACAAAATAATAAAAGCCATGACATATCAAGCCTTATAAAGAGATTGAACAACTCAGAGAGGAAACTGAAAAAATTAAAATTGGGTCTAAGAGACCCTGATAGTGTGCTGAGGGTTATGTGAACATTCCACAGACATCCGTCCAAGTCAAGGTCAAGAATAAAGTGAGGGGAGAGCCTCCATGTCCTCCTGGAGTTCCCCAGGCCTGGTCAGGGGCTTACTCACAGAAGGAGCTAAGGAGGTACTCACCAAGTGGGTAGCAGGAGCCATCGATGGGATTACTACACTACGTAGTTATCACGGGACTGTCATACAGTATTGCTTCCGAATGGGCAGGGACCTCGCTCCATCTCCGAATCTTGGCCCTGGAGTCCTGTTCTTCTCTCTCTCCCTTTCAGCTGGGTAACTGCTATACTTTGACTCTCAACTCAAACATCCCTTCCATAAGGAAGATTTCTCTGCCCCCACACTAGCAAGTGCCCCTCAGTGGGCTATCAGAGCACCCCTCCTGCCCGGCCACCCTCCTCTCTGCAGTCACCATGGCTACAGTTAGTAGAGAAGGCGTTACTGTGGCTGCTTCCCTAAGAGCAGGCCAGGGTGTCCAGCCTGGCCTTATCAGCACCAGCACAGCGCCGCCTAGGCTGGGTGCCCAGGAAGGGTTTGGTGAATGAAAAACACCGTTGAATTCCAAGGTGTTTCTGGGTATAGATGCGCATCTGCCTGAACCCTTCCACCAAGGGCTGAGATGTGTGTGTGTGAGAAAATAGAAGTAAAAAGTGAACGCCCATCTGTAGAGGACGCAGAGCAGGTCACAGAGCTGTTCCCTTCTGGTTCGATCCTTCACTGGGTGTTACTGGGGACAGCAAGCCACGTGCCTGTAGCAGAGGCGTCCTCAGCTCACGATTCCCGTTTTCATTCAGGTGTCGGGTGATTTATCAGAGAGCGACCTCAGCGTCAAGGCTCAGCACCCCCGGACCGGTGCAGACACCGCGGAGGACAGAGCGAGGAACAAGCTGTTCGAGTTGGCAGTGAACATGAGCGAGAAGGAGACCTCGTCGGGGGAGGATCAGGAGTCGGAGTCCAAGACGGAGTCTGAGAACCAGAAGGGAAGTCTGTCCTCGGAAGACAACGGCCAGAGCGTCCAGGAAGAGCTGATGAAGGTAAGGACCGTGCACCTGCCTGCGGACAGCGTGGTTCTTGCAGCTGGGGTCCGGGAAAGGCTCTGCATTTGCACAGAGATGGGGGCCACCCACAGGGCTCTCTCTAAAATGGTCTCCCCCATACATTTTGGGGAGCCTGTGGGAGCCTTTCTGGTTAGACCCGAGTGACTCAGTCAGGAAACCAGCATTGTGTTTCTTGGAAGCCTTCCAAGACTTATCATCTCCTGCTGACTGTCCTTCATCAACACGGCCCTTTGGTCTCCGGTCTGTAATTTCATGCCATGGCCTCCCTCATGGGCAGGGAGCCGGGTCCCTCACCCTCCCATGAGGAATTTTGTCTGTGCATTGGGAGCATCGAGCCATCCCCCTTTTGGTCAACAACGAAGCCTCAGGCCATGGTCTGTGTGTGCACATGGCCTCGTGGATCATTTATCTCCACGGTTTTCAGATTGAGATTTGTTCATCTTGGCCTCAGAATCCTCATGTGGAGTCCCAGGGTAGTAAACAGATTAAAAACACTGCTACTCCCAGGGCCCCCAAAGCCCCGGACACTGAGCCTCAGCCCCACCCTCTTCCTACTCTCCCCGCCCCAGTCACCAGCCCCTGAGTTCCAAGTGGCATTGCTGGAAAACCACAGAGGTGAGGCCCAGCTGCTTGAAGAAAAGGGTCCCGGTCTCCCCACCTCCAGTCAGTGCCCTGCCCCATCCTCCAGCCTGTGCCTGGGTTCCCTTGACAGCTTCTCCAAACACGCCTGTGCTGTCCTTGGCCACCGTAGTGTGGGGGTGTCCCTGATGCCTCCATTGGAGGGGGAAGAAGCTGACACTCGTTGATTGTCTCACCTGTGCCTTGTGCATTGTGTGTATTGCTTAGTTCATTTAATAAAATGTCTTTGATGTAGATACAGCTCCTTTTGCAAATGAGGCAACTGAGGTTAATCAGTAAGAAACTTACCCCAGGCCCACAGCTCAGGGGTGTCAGAGCTGGGGCTGCCCCACAAAGCCACGTGGTCCCAAACCTCAGCTCCTTCCTTTACAACAAGCTGTCTCTTCTGTAACCCAGATAAGCTCTTGTTTGGAAATATCTAGATTTCTTTGCACTTGTGATCAGTTTGATCTTGTTTTGAGACAATGCTATGTAAGCCAGCAAGTTACTGGTAACCCACATGCATGCATGAACAAGCCCCCTTCATCCGCTTAACAGCCAAGTTAGGGTACTAGGGAGTAGCCAAGCCAGCCTCGGAATGACCACAGGTGGTCAAGAGCGGGCCCAGAGAGAAGTGGGGACCGTCCTCCATGGCTGAGCCCCTGTCCTTCAGTATCTCAGACTCTGCCTTCCACTCATCCCCACCCCACCCCCCAGAGCCGTTGGGCCGGCAGGGCCCTCTGCCTGTGGGCGGCACACGCATCTCTCCCCGGGCGTGTCTATGGCTTGGAGAGCAGAGCTCAGCCTTCTCGGGCAGCTCCTCCCTGGGGTATGGACTCCAACCCACTGCTTCCTCGCTGGTTATGGGCTCTGACCCTCCCTGTGACTTTAAGTGATGCCTGGTTACAGTCCCATTTGTCTGCTGGAGCCGAGGGCCACACGCTCACTGAAGAATATCCCTTATTTCTTACAACGGCTCTGCGTCCTGCTGGCTTGGTATTCCCAAGGCTCCAGAGCGCACGCCACGCCAGTGGCAGGCCTGAGTCAGGCACTCCCAGCCCTCGTCTGCCTCAGCCCCACCCTCTGGAGGCACAGCCTCCCACCTGATCTGTGCTGTGTTCTCCTGGGCAGAACAGGGAGTGGAGGGGCCACAGGGGAAAGGTCCTGGCCGCTTACTCAAGCCCCCCATACCCCACCGGTCGCCTCGCAGAGTTAGAAATTAGGAGAGTTGCTCTTATTCAAACCCTCCAAAGGGTCAGTTTCTCAAAGTTGAAGTCTTTCCCCCAGCTTCCCAGGAATCAGTGAATTAAATATGAGCCAGGTATCATTTTGTTGGATGTGAGAATCCATGGAGCAAATAGAAAAGATAATTAATCTGTTTTTCTCCATCAGTCATGGGCTACTCTGCTGAAGGGAAAACAGGAATTCAGGTTTTACTGAATATTGTTTAGAAGCCAAAGGGCATAGAGGTAGGCTTCAGGATTAGACTGAGTTTGAAACACAACCATGCAATTTACAAGCTTTGTCTGTGGACTTGGCTCAATGTCTTAGCTCACTGCCCTAGAACTAGCCAGTCCTTCCCCGCCCGCTGACTGAACGCCGCCTCCGAACTCTTCTCCCTGCCCCTCCACGCTCTTCTGGGCCTCTCCAGTCACTTCCCCACTTGGCAGCTAGAGCTGCCCTTGCTCTAGCAAGTCCCGGAACTTGCTCCCAGCATCTCCACGTGCCCACGTCTGCCTTGTTTTTTAATTGATCCCTAGGACCCAGGCCAGGTCATCACTGTTAGTTGGGTCAGAAATGTCCCTTCTGGTTTCTAAGAATAATGGGTGAAATCGGATTTCGTTTCCTGGCCTGAGAATCACTTGCAACACTGTTTACAGGACAGATGATGGCCTCTGGGTCAGGCTTTGGGAACAGGAGTGTGTTGAAGACTCGAATTAGCAAATGCTTGCATTATGGCCCAACTTGTGCATCCAGTGTCCTGAAGGCATTTTTATGTAAGGTGTCCTTGTTTACTAATTATTATCACAAGTAGCTGAGTCACTGTGCTTTATTTTTTTTCCACAAGGGAGTCACACACAGGCCAGCTGTCATCTCTCATGTTCGTAGTTTCATGGATTAATTCTCACCCAAGTACTGAGACTTCTCTGACCTAAGAGACGTCTGTGGGCCTCTGCTCACAGCTGCTCCCCGTCTCCTGACCCCAGGTCTCGGGAAAACGCAGTCCCGGTTGGCGGTCAGGGTGACAGGTTTGTCCACTGTTGTCCGAGCAAACCCAGAGCCTTGGGTTTCTGAAGTTTCCTGTGTTGTGAACAACCGTTTGCTGACAGCACAGGGTCACCATAAAGTCAAGTATCGTCTACGTGTGTCCCACCCTTGTAAAGTAACTCGCCATCCACGGGCAGCGGCACCGTCCTCCATCCAGGCAGCCCTGTGTTTCAGAAGTGTGTCTGCACCTTCGGTTGGTGCTGGAGCGAACGTGGTGTCAGGTGCTCACTTGTGTGGTAGGAGCTCCACTGATGCCACAGCCGTATGCCTGTGGCAGAAGTGACATCCCTTTCCTGACTCTGTGTAACTGTGGTTGCCCAGGACAAAGACAAGCGCTAGCTGTCCATGTAGAGCTGCAGCTCTTATGCACAGCGCTGGGACAGGTGGGGGGCTCATTTCCCGTGGTCATTGGTCTCCCTCATTTCCATAGCTGTGTCCTGTGTGCAGAGAGGCGGGGGAGGGCCTGCCGGTCTGGGAAGACGGAGTTCCAGGTTCTCTCCTGGATCACTGCAGCTTCAGCAGAGCACCTGCTTCTCTAGGCCAAAGATGAACTGAGCACCAGAGAAAGGCTGGCCAGAACTCCAATGCAAAGCTTCCATAAAGCCTCTGTAAACTGCAGGTGCCAACTGAAGGGTCAGGAGAAACTGATGTTGTGTCACCCAGAGCGGTAGCGTGGGGTATTGGACAGGCGGGGTTTGAGGAGAGAAAGGCAGAGTAGCTCTAGAAAGTTGTAAGGAGAAAGGTCTAGAAAACAAGGCTTCAGGTGAGAGCTCTGACCCCACTAAAGCCCAAAAGTAAGACCCCTAAGGAGAGGGGATCGAGGGAGGTAATAGGGGAGAGAAGACAAAAAAGATACTGTATGTCTGAAGGTCTGCAGAATGTGCAGGCTGTGCTCTTGAAACACAGTCTGGGCGGAGAAAATAGAAAAATGAAAGAGAGGAATTAAGAAAGGAAGGAAGGAAGGAAGGGAGGGAGGGAGGAAGGAAGGAAGGAAGGAAGGAAGGAAGGAAGGAAGGAAGGAAGGAAGGAAAGAAAGGAAGGAAGATCTCAACTACAAACACATGTACCAAAATCTCAAATAAAATGCTAGCAAACTAAATTTTGCAATATTAAGAGAATCACAAGCCGTAAATAATATACTTATTCTCAAAATGCAAAAATAAAGTTAATAGCAGGAAACTTCATTTAGTATGTACTATTTTTTAAAAGCACGTCACGATCTCAAAGGATGCCAAAATGGTCCTTGGGAAAATTTAATACATATTATACTTTGAAAACTCTCAAGGAAATAGATAATTCTGATTAAGACTTTCTATCTCAAAGCAATACAGTGAAGCCCTAGAGAGTTTTTCCTGAATGAGATCTCATTGTAAATATCAAAAAACACCTTGAACATCATAATATTTTACTATTGATCAAATAAATACATGACAAAGAGTTGTGAATGTAAATGCTTTTACATAAATATGTGCTTTGTTAATTAAAATAGCATGTGCATATGTTGGAAAAATAAGACCTATGTGTAGCTTTAAGATTTTAAAAAATTATAGGTGAGTAATTTGATATTGCTAATCTTTTTTAAAATACTATTTACAAAGAAGTAAAGGAGCAAATCTGGCTCTGGAAGTGTTATAAAACCTGAACAGACCATGGAAGAAATTGGCAAAGTAGTTAGAGAATTGTTCCTCAGAAAGAGGCTAGACTCAGAGTCTCTGCCAGTAAAATCTATCAAGTGTTTATGGTACTAATCACTCCCATACTATTTAAATTGTTCTTTAGCATTAAAAAAATTATGAAAGCATTCAAATTTATTTTATTTCTTTAAAACCTTGGTCTGAATTGGATGCAAAATTCATCACCAAAAATTTACATACTCATTCACTGGTTAATAAACATTCAAATATTCTCAATGCGCTAGCAAATTGTTCCCAACTATATAGTAAAATAATAATTTACAATGGCCAGGTAGGATTTAGTCTAGGAATGTAATAATGTCAATTTTTAGAAAATTAATATTTTCCATTATATTTACAAGTAAAAGGGGGAAAACATGGTTCTGTCGTTAAGTTCCTAAATTGGTATTTGACATA